AATATTTCTAGGAACCACTTTGTTTCCTAAAGAACTAAATTAACTTGTTGCCATCGAGTCAGTTCCAACTCATAGTGACCCTATATGACAGAGTTAAACCGCCCCTAGGGTTTCCAAGGCTGAAATCTTTACATAAGCAGACAGCCACATCATTCTTCAGTACAGCGACTGGTGGATTCGAACTGCCAACCTATCAGTTAGCAGCCAAGCGCTTAACCACTATGCCACCAGGGCTCCTTGAAGAACTAAATTACAAAGGGAAGGTGGGTGGGTGGGGGGGATGCCTAAGATAAAAGTAACAGGTTTACTGTTATTTTTCTCCTTAAGAGTATTAAGGTTCAGTTGCTTACCCTGTTAACTAAAAAGCATGAGAAAAAATAGGTGGAACCCAAATAGGATTACACCGTTTTTTCAGAAACCTTAATATGCCTCTCTCTACAATTGTCCTAACCTGTAAGTATTCAGAAGGAAGGCATAACTAGAAAAAAATTTGCAGAAAATAGGAACATTCTTGTTTTATGTTTTTTCCTATCAATGTGGAGATACTGAGCTAACAAATAATGTATAATTATGGAGTACTTTTTAATACATGAAAAATAAATAATGTTCCACAGGAGGCTTTATAACCACATAAATGCAGTGGTTCCAGTATTGAGATCACCCTACAATTGTGCATAAATACTGTATATTTTACAAACACTTAATGACAGTGCAAAAGAATAGACATGTATCCCTACCCCTCACTATGTTAAGTACCAAGAGATTAGAGAAAATGGATCAAGACAGGTTGTTGGTTTTGGAAACAAAATAAAGGGACGTATACTACGGACAGGCAACTGCTTTGCTACCTCAGCCAACCGTAAACTGCCGTCATCAGGACATTTCGATTGCTTAAGGTGTTGGCCATGCTATTTTCATCACAGCAATTTTTTTTTAAAGAATTCATTCTTTAGATCTCTACCTTAGAACAATTAAAGCTAAACCTTTCTTAAACAATTTGCCATTTTCTCTAAAGGTGAAGGCTGCAAAAAAAGGCCTTACAATTCAGTAACAACTGTATGCTCTGACAATCATGTATTAAACAAAATCAGGGCACCTTAACAGAATGATTGGTGCAATGTACAGTTTAAATGTATCAATTTTACAAAAGAAATTCAATTAAAAGACTTAGAGGGTCTAATCCTGGTTTTGATAAGCAGTATTTCTAAATGACTGAGAAGCTTTTTTTTTTTTTTAAAAAAAAACACCTTTATCTTAGTTCCAATGACTTTTTTTTCCATCTTTCCCCCAAAAGAACATTTTTAGAGCACAAAATAGATTCATAATTGTTTAATTAGATACATTTTATACATCCTGAACATAATGGATCCCATAGAAATAAACTAATATTTTGTACACAAACTTTATTTACTGTGCCACACTCATAATATACCGACTCAAGCCAAGTGCAGAAACATTTATTACACCCCCGTTCTGTGCGAAAGCTCTGCTCCCACAAACTCTTCATTATCTAGGATGACGGAGAACAGGATTAGACAAGATGGATAATTAAAATCCACAAAATAATAACAAAAATGTGCTTTGGATTATGATGATAAACTCTTCTCCAGCCACAGCAGTAACCAGTACCGAGCAAAAGGGTTTTATCAGGGCTTCTTTAACTTCCTCCCACCCTGATCCTTGGGGCCAGATCTACTGATTGATGACTGAAAAGCACAAAGGCATGGAGCCAGAATAATCAAGAGAAGCAAAAGGTTTATTACATCTACAACCTGGCATCCCTTGTATTGAAAATCTCTTGGTTTCTCTTACCCAGAAAGTGATGTGTGACAGCTTTTTATGTCACATATAATTGATATGTACTATTAAGCTGTATCTCAAATGAGGTTTATTTTTATAATAGCCTGGAAATGATGGGATATTTTAAAGTAATCCGTAAAAAATAATTAATTAAAAAAATACACACACACATTAAAATAACAGCAAAGTCTGAGAGTAAATTTGCACCTGGGGTGGCAGCCTACAGAATCAAAATAATTAGTTTCTGGTCTGCCTCCACACATGCTAGGTTGGGCCATCGATCTGTTCAGTCTAGCCTCATCCACAGGATCATCACCACTTATTACTGCTTTCCTTAATGACCAGCTCAAATGAGATGAAGGATCATGATTATGAATAAATCATGAGGGAGGTATAAAGACATATTAAGTTCTATTCTATCCTACATCATTTTAGGGAAAAACAAACAAGAAAAGTGTCCCTGAAATAAAAAGGTTTATGTAAAATCCTAGGAAATGAATCAGGATTTAGCAAGAGAACGATCTAATATTTATTCTACCTTTTTGCTGTTTAAACTAGTCTCAAAAGCTCAAATATTGTGTAGATTAAAATTCCAAACAGAGTAAGTCTCACCAATTTTAGAACCGCCATGTCAATAAAAAGTAAAAGTGAAATGGGATAGAGATGTGGCCATTACACCAACATGTGGTCAACAGGAGAAATTGGTGAATTGAGTATTATCAATTATCTAAAAACTTAATTGATCATTTGAAATGGAATTCTAATCAGGATATATGAATCTTAAAAGAGATTCTAAACTTGGGATATTTTAACATGTTGTAATTTTAGTTAATTTGACATTTTTTTTCTCATTCTCATCTTGAAATCCTAATCAGAATTTCAGGTTAGCTCTGACCACCACCCACCTACCTGATTTGTAGCCAGAAGTCATTATGTAGCATAGATCCTTTCTACTATTTTTTTCCCCCTCACTTACTACTTCCCAAATGCTAAGTACAATAGTTGCTTCCCTGATGGATCCTTGGTCCTTTCACACCTGCCTGACTGGTATTTTATCTGTCAGTCGCCTGATGCCTCACCTTCCTACTTCTCTACTTGTAGTACCTTTCCTTTAAAGAATCCTTTTCTTGTATTTAGGCTAAATATTTTGAGAATATTCAGGACAATACTAGTAAGTATAGACCAGGACCACTTTATTTAAAGCTTTACCAGTCATGGGAGAACAGACAATTATGTGGAAGTCAACAGGATTCTAATTAAATTCTAGTTAAAATTAAAGGCATGTATCTTAGGATGTAGATAAAACTTGTCAAGATGAATAAGCAGAAAAAAAAATCAATAACAAGGGAAAGATTTTACTACCATGGAGAAGCCCCCTATAGATGTAAAATGGGGGTTAAAGGAATTGGAAAGCACAGGGAGGGTGTTGCTTAAGTGGATCCCTTCAATCTGGTGATGGATTAGAGAATTTACTTCAGAATGAAATTCCATTCTAAACCAATGCATACTGCATACATTATACACAGACTCAGATGACAGGAGGGATAAGATGTAGGATGACTGAAACATTGCTTCAACCAGTGGAAACCTGAGCGTTTTCCCTTCTGTCCTCATCAGCAGTTTTCTGTTTGATAGTGTATTAGCCAGTATTAGGAATGCTCTGCTGAGGAGAAATAACACTCAAATCAACACCTCATAACAAAATGTAAAATGTCAGTAACCTTGTTATCAGAGTTTACAATAATACTTAAAGTCTGATGATAAGATTCTCAGAATAAAAATCTAAGAACAAAATATATGTAATTTTATAATTCTCTAGGAAAATCTCTAAAAAGGTTTTTTTTTTTTTAAACATACAGGCATTTATATAGTCATCTACGTGCAGAAACTTAGGAATACTGATGCAAGTTACCTTCAAAAGCCTCTGTATATTAGTGAGGAAAAACCAAATCCTGAAGTATGCCAAACACATTTCTGCCCTACTCTTTTGGGATGAATAAATTCCTTAGCTTAAGTTTGTATCTCTGCCGACAGCAAGGTAAATGCTTAGTATGTGGTCATGTATCTTACAGAATCACTTGACGAAAAATATGAAATAGGATTTTGCATAGAACTCATCTAAACAATGCAAATAAGCTACTAGCATTCTTGCTTCTGTTCCCAGTGGAATTTGACTAGTGCCGATGTGTTGGGCAGGATAGAGAGGTGGATTACATTGTGCTTCACTCAAAAACAGTTATGTTTATAGTACTATTTAAGCCCATTCAGGAATTTCATACGCTTTTTGTTATTTTCTTCCAAGGTTTTAACACTGATGCCTAGTGCTCAAATTAAATACAGATTTTGCCAAATAACAGGGCATACTATGAGGTTAGGTCGAAGAGGGACGGTTTATTATCTGGACACAGGACAGGAACTTAACGAGCAATGCGAATACAGAGATCTACTTAGTCACACCTTTTCCTTTTCACCTTTTAGAAATATGACATAGCAACTGACTTATAAAAGTAAAGCATGTGTTGCTTGGTTTTTTTTTAAATCCATTTAAGTTAGTCTTATAATTTCTGATCCCATAAAGTGAATCATGCCATGTTTCAAAAGATCTGTCCTTCACATAAACCTATGAGCACACATTGAAAAAATGATTTATTGTACATCTTTGCATTTCTTAAGGCATGAACAATGGTGTACAGACAGAACAGGTTCTGAGAAGCATCACGTCTTTTTTGACAAGGCCAGCACAAGCACACCACATCAAACAGACACACTTGAAGCCTGAACTGACTGACCGCTGTGGCCCAGGAGCTCCTCTGATAAGGTGATGGCGCTTCCAGACAAAGGACCAAATGCGTGGCTTATATGTCATGTTGCTTTGAACACTCTTGATCAGCTTTAAGCACCAGTTACAGTTTGTTTTCTTTACAAACTCTTCAGACTTTGGATTTTATATTCTACTCCTTTTATTCTGCTTTTCGAGGAGGATGTGGATGTTTTTAAGGAATATGGTTGCAGCAAAACAGAAAGGATCCAAAAGTGGTTAGGGCCTTGTCTAATGCACTTCTGAAAGTCCATTATAAAGATGAATAGAAAAGCAAATGGTAGGTTTTCAGTTGACCCACAAACCACGCTTAGCTATAAGAAATTAATTGTGCATAGTTACTTATTCATTCAGAGTGTGATATGTTGGCTAGCTCTACATTCCCAGTTTACCAAAGAACAGGGCTGTCTACTTTACTAAACCCAGGGTCTTTTCGCAGCTCCCAGTAAGTGTCCTTAGAAACCCAGACTTCTCTTTGATTGGCATTGATAACTTTTCTGTGAAAATATAAAAACAAACAGACAAAAATAGCATCAAGGTGAGGTGATAACTGGACCCTCTCCTGTGAATAAAACATGTACATATAAGCAGTACTTTTTTAGGCCAATTAGTGTCTTATCTGCTTACGGATGACTTGAATATTTTTGACCAGAAATGAACTCATTTTGTTGTAATGTTTGAAATGGAAGTGGGTAGGGTCATCAGGAGAGAGGCTGAGTGCAGGAATGAATCATCTCCAGGCAGGACTAGAAAGTGAAGAGCCCCAACCAAAGCACATATAAATATTAAAACTAAGAACCTCAGACCCCAGAGCCCAGACCCACTTGTGGGGAAAACCATGCAACATCAGTGACTGTAAGAGCCTCTGCTTGGTCAATCTTCAAAGCATGCACTTTAGACATCTGAAGGGCAAAGCTGCATTTCCACCTCTGGCAGTCAAGAAATGGCAACTATAAAGGACAAGAGGTTATCCTGAGCTTTTTGTCCTGGCTCTGGAAGGCAACAGATGGATTCAGAAACTAGATTAATCTGTGTGATGTATATATACAATCCTGTAAATAATCCATAATAATCACCCACAATAATACCACAGTGGGTCTATCTGTTCAGATTTAAGCTCCATGTATTAGAAATAAAATTAAATACTAATCAAGCTAGGATGACCTTGTGGGCAGTGGGGCCCCATCCCATCTTTGGGTGAGGGTGTGGGAACAAGTTTCTATAATTCTAAAGGGTGTAGCTGAAGAACAAAGAGTCTTCTGGACAAGATCCTCAGTCTCTTTTGTTGACCATGAAAAGAAAAGTGCTATAGAGGAGAATTTATTTTTATGGAAGCATCACGTCTTCCACTGCCAAAAGCAAAGTTACCAAAATTGGTTTAATTTTTCTACCTTTCAGTTCTCTGGATACCAAACTATTTGTAATTTTCTATTCACCTGGAGTTCCCCATTGTTTATGCATTTGCAAACCATTTACTTGCTATGTAAATGAACTGACTTACTTAAAAAATTTTGGTATATGTTCAAGGTTGTTTTCTTCCATGTATCGTCTTCGAGATCTCTGAAGTTCCTCTACTCTTTGTTTCTCTGCTGCTGCAGCTTCCAGATTTCCTTCTTCCAAAAATCTAAGCAAAGAGCAGTTGGTCTTTTACTACATTATCCTCTTTTCTGGGAAAAAATAATCTCATTTACACAAAATTACCCTCTGGTTGCTGTGAGTCTAACACTCTGGTAATGTCCTCTTACCCCTGCCCTAGGCCACGGCACCTCTTGTCTGTCCATCAATCCACATGCTTCCTGTCTATGTGGTCTGAATTATTGTGTATAGCAATAATTGGCAATAACTGGTAGGAGTGAAGGATAAGTGATTTGGTCCTTGAAGACTTTTCTGTGCCATTTGGGACTCTACAACTTGAGGTGTTCAGGATGGCTGGAGAGTCCAGGGTTAGAACAGCATGAAGTGACAAGTTGTGCTCCTTTTCCATATTATCAGAAAGTACTTGTTAACCCAAAAGAATTAAAAGTAGGGACTCAATCAGATACTGGTACTCCGACGTTCACTGCAGCATTATTCACAACAGCCAAAAGGCGGAAACAACCCAAGTGTCCATCAACAGATGAATGGATAAACAACGTGGTAAGTATACATACAATAAAGAGATACAATAAAGCCAAAGGAGAAATGAAGCCCTGATACATGCTACAACATGGCTGAATCTTGAAAATAGTATGTTAACTGAAATAAGTCAGACATAAAGGGACAAATATTGTATGATCTCACTTATATAAAATATCCAAAATAGGCAAATGCATAGACACCAATGTTTATTAGTGTTATCAGGGGCTGAGAAGAGGGGGAAATAGGGAGTTATTGCTTAAGGGGTACTGAGTTTTTGTTTAGGGCAATGAAAAACTTTTGGAAATAGTGATGATGGTTTCATAACATGAATTTAATTAATGTCACTGAGTCGTACACTTGAAAATGGTTAAAATGGAAAATTTGTTATATATATTTTACCACAATTAAAAAAATATGAAACAAAACAACAAGAAAGCACTTGTTAAAGACCAAAAAGTAGAGGAAGATAACTGACTGTCATCCACCTACTTTTGGAAAAACTGAGGTGGAAGGAGTTTTCCTGTTTTATTGGTGAGAATAAAACTGATGAAAAAAGAAAAAAACGGTAACAGTTGGAGAAAATTACAAAAGGCCAAAGAATAGGAAATGAAATTCAGGAAGAGAATATTAAAATAGAATTGAGAAAGAAAAAGATTAAAAAGACCCAATGGTGATTTGCAAATATTAAATCTCAAAATGAGAGCAAAGAACAGGAATATAACATTGTACTTCACTGTACAGGAAGTTATTGATAAATCTGAATGTCAAACAGTGAGACTGCATGTCTGGAGAGAGAGAAATGAATAGCAGAACAGAACAGCAGAACATAAGAGAACTGAACAGTAGAACATTCAATGCTGAAAACATTTTGGCAGAAGACAGATAAAGTAAAAAACACACTGGAAACCGAAAACTGATTGGCACAGGCCTGGGCAGTGTTTTGTTCTGTAGTATACTGGGTCACTATGAGTCGGAACTGACTCGATGGCACCTAGCAACAACATAGAAATTTTGGAAAAAGTAAGATGAATCCAGTAGGAATGAAAATATAGGACATAATGAGTACACAGAACCATGTAAGAATAATAAAAAAAAAGAATCAGAAGGTATTAAAGTACATTTCACTCATACCCTATGGGATCAAAACCATGTTGGGCAAATGCCAGGCTTTCATTTAAAGCATTTCTCAGTGCCCCTGTCACTTAATACTCTTATCATTTAGTTTGAAAGATACTCCATGTTACAGAGTAATAGGAGAAAAGAAGTTTAAACAAAGAAAGAAACAAACAAAAAACCACTGGGGGAGGAGCGATTTTGTATTTAGTGGAGAGAGAGTCCATTGAATTTGTAAACCTTTAGTAATTTTTTTTTTTTTTTTTTTGAGACAGGGAGGAGATAAAACTTTTTGTTGAAAAACATCTGTGTTATCTTCTGTGGGGAACTTTTTAGTTGAGAGAAACAATCTTCTGGTATGATCAACCTATGGATACTGCTTTACCCAGGGTTGTGATGGGTGTTAGCTGCTGTCAAGTCTGTCCTAACTCATGGTAACCCTATGTGTGCAGAGTAAAAATGCATTCCATAGGTTGTCAAGGCTGTGACCTTTCAGAAGCAGATCGCCAACCCTGTCTACCAAGGTGCCTCTGAGTGGGTTAGAATCTTTTGGCTAGTAGTTGAGCACTTAACTGTTTGTGCCAGAATGACTGAATGAATGAATAAATGATGGTGGAGAAGATGATCTCCATGACCTTTGTAGTTTCATGCCATGACCTATGTACATCTTAAATACCACTGCCGTCCTTACCTCTGATCTGGCCGGAATCGTGCATCTGTCGGTGGAAGAAGGTCTTTTAGCACAGGATCTAACTCATTAAGCTCAATAGCAAACCTTGTGAAGCCATAATAGAGCTCATAGTTGGTTGGCATGGAACCTGGAGGGCGACAGATGGGCCATTGCTGAGAGACAAAAAGGCTTACAGATCTCAAAGAACTGCCTTACCCGTGTGTTTCATTAATACCCACAGTAGTATCAAATTTGTACAGTCATAAACACTAGATTACACATGTTTTTCAAGTGAATTACATCAGTTATATTTTGCTGGGTGGGGAACTTTATGTTGATCATCAGAACTGACAGATTCATATATGTAATAATAAAATCCAGCTTTCAAAATAAAACTTTACACATATAGTAGACTCACCGGCTAAACTATTCCATAATTTTTCTTTCAAAAATTCAATAGCCTTACTAAATGCAAGCTTGATTAACTATAACCATTAAGATTTCACCAGAAATGCTTCTTATTTACTTCCCTTTAGAAAAGGAGAACATGGGATGTAAATTAATATTTACTGGCATTTTTTTAAATTGTGTTTTAAGTGAAAGTTTACAATTCAAGTTAGCCTCTCATACAAAAATTTCTACAGACATTGTTATGTGACCCTAGTTACTCTCCCTATACTGTGACAGCACACTCCTTTCCACCCCAGATTTCCCGTGTCCATTCAACCAGCTCCTGACCCTCTCTGCCTTCTCATCTCGCCTCCGGACAGAAGCTGCCCATTTAGTCTCATGTATCTACTTGAGCTAAGAAGCACACTCTTCACAAGTATCATTTTATGTCCCATAGTCCAGTCTAATCTTTGTCTGAAGAGTTGGTTTATTGGCACTATTCAACTAACCCCCTCAAAGGCAAGATCTTTGTCTGCTCTGCCCACTGATGTATCCCAAGCTCCTAGAATAAAGCCTGATACCTAGTCAGTAGTCAATAAATACCTGCTGAAATGAATGAATGAACTGCTCTACTGGCAGGTTATTTAAATGCTCATTGATGTCTCTTAGGAAACCAACACCTAATTTTAAAGTTAGGGATTAACTGGCAAATTCCAATGAGAATAAATCTTTTGTAGATACTTGTTCCATTTATACTTGATAATCAATTACGTGCTAGTGAATTACCAGAACTCTTTTAATGTCTTTTGTTAAATGCCAACATATTGCTGTGCAAGTGAAAAGATCACTTACTCTGGTGAGTTATTAAATTTGAGGATTATAGATGTTTGCAAGCTTTCCTTTGTTTAATTAAAACAGAGAATAAATAACATGAGGAAGGATTTAAGTCTGATTTCAATTATCTAAACTGTTTAATAAATACACCTAGCTTTTGAGATGCAGGCATTATACTTAGAGTGATTTTACATGAAGCCAAAATCTCTGACATGTGGCCAGAAATTTGGCCTAAATTTTACAACTTCCTCCTATCAAATATTGGGACTTTTGTAACTTCTATGTTAAGTATAAATGTAGCTATAGCTGCCTTTATGCACCTACATTTTTAACCTCACTATTAAAGAAAACATAAGGTGAATGGCATGGGATGATCTGACATTCACTCATGGTGCCCTTCTGGGGCAGGACATTCATTCGAGTCTCACCTGGTCTCCAGATGCACTTTGCAGAAGGGGCCACGCCACAGTAGAGCCCTTCATGCCACTTCCCAAACAGCCGGTGAACCACCTTTCCCTCCTGATCCATCACAACGCCCTGGACTTCATTCACATTAGAATTCCAATAATTCACCTGGAAAAATCAACCCCCAATTATGACTCCCAATCTCTTCAACAACTCCAATCTCTACAACTTCCGTATGGTAAATTTTCTTAACCTTGAAGTTACTCATTCAAGCCATTTCAAGAAATGTATTAAAAATGTTTTTTTACAGAATGGTGGCTTTCTACTTTCAACTTTTAAGAAAGGGATGATCTCTACTCTGTGCTATATCATGGTAGCATAAAATACAGAAGGCTCAGGTTCTAACCTAGTACCTAATAGCAGTTTATAGGCTGGTAATTTCTTCCTCAGATCCTCCTGTCTTGTATTTTCCCTTTGCTCATGGATTTTAATGAATTTCAGCTGGCAATTTTGCAGAAGTGGTTTGTAAAATAATCTTCCCAGTATTTGTAAATGGTTAAATTTTATCCTGAGGACCCTGCTCTGGCCCTTTTCCAGCCATGCCCCTCCCAAAGGGGTGAGAAGTCTGTGGGAACCTACCCCCTGAAGCCCCTGATCCCCCTTCTAGATCAAGCCCTAAGTACCCAGGACTCTTGAATTTCCTGTCCAAATGGCTCAGAACTTATTCCACAGCCTGTACAGGCCTTTTTCTTGGATTCATCCACACAAGGGCAAACGATCCACCTGTGTGTGTACCTTTAGACCTGAGGAGTGGTCAAGAGGTAGCTGTTTGCAGGGAGTGTGGACAGGGCTTAGATGTGTGAACTGGACTGCCAACACGTGTGTGTGAGGTCCCTTGCAGTGCAGGACAGAGCTGGAGGTGGCAAGAAAAGTGGGGAAGGCTGTGGGCCAGGACTGGTTCACTCTGTGTCACCATGCTTCCAGCACGGATCTCTAAAGTGTCTAACCTGGCCTTGTGGCTTGCGATAAAAGGTATATTTGTCAAGGTCAAAGGACAGAACATATTTTCTTTGAAATTTTGTAGGCTTAAAATAGATATTTTAAATATTTACACACATGGTATATAGGAACCTCCATTTGTGCTCTTGCCCTGGGCTCTGCAAATGTTAGTGGCAGGCTTAATTGGAATTTTCTCATAGCCCACAAAACCAAAGGCACACATGTACTCTTATCACCAAATCAGAGCAAATAATGATCCCAGATCTTCATTTCTGAGCCATCTAATGAGTCTATAAGAAAAAAAAAAAAGAACATCTAGAGCTAAAATAAAGATATTAAATTAAAACTAATATGATCTTCCAATACGGTGTAAAAGGATTTAACTAAGGGTCCAACACTACCTGTTTACCGTATGAGAATGTGATCATGAGGGTTCATGTACCACAATGGAATTTTGTAGCACACCTAAACAAACATGGAGATGATACTGAGGGAAAATGGTGTTTTGTGAGCATTTCTATCCCAAACATCTTTTCTTGTTAATAAAGGTAATCTCTTTGTTGGACTTATTTGGACTGTAATAGTGGCATGGCTGGATAAGGGTTGTGGTGACTGGTAGCTCTCATCTACATGGCTGCTCTATTCAACTTGACAGAAATTGCCAGAAAATGTTACATGATAATTAACCCATACCCACTGCCATCGAGTCAATTCTGACTCATAGTGACCCTACAGGACAGAGTAGAACTGCCCCATAGGGTTTCCAAGGAGCACCTGATGGATTCGAACTGCTCACCTTTTGGTTAGCGGCCATAACTCTTAACCACTACGCCACCAGGGTTTCCACATGATAGTTACCTTAAATAAGATCACCTGAATATGCTGTAATCAAGCAGGAATAGAAATAGAAATATAAACCAGAAGACTTGTTATGGGCAAAAAGTATTTACTGGGATTTTGCTTATTGAAATGCTAACTTGCTGCTTAAAAAAGAAATCATTTGTGTTTTCTGTTTTGAGATGGTGCTTAGTTGAACCTCCCCACACATCGAGATGCCTACATGCCTCAAGCAACTCCATCAGTTGGTTCTGCTTTCTCATCTAAAATGTCCTTAAGCTCCAAAGATATAGGACAAATTCACAGGACAAATTCACTTGCTGCTGTTTAAAGGTAATCGTTACACTTTTTCTTCAGTAAGTGTTTATATTATTTTTCCTACACTGTGTTGTATGATGTTACTTACCTTGACAAATGTGAGTTTGCAAATGCAAACACTGCTTTTGGTATTTCTGATGGTGACTTCTCCATAATGCTCTATCCATCTCCTACCACTGAGAATGTTGTGTATGCATGTGGTGACTTTATTCCACACATAGAAATCTCCATATCTGGATGAAAAAAGAATGTTTACATTGGTTAAAAATAGTGAAGGTTACAAATAGGTATTACTGTTTATACTAATGAGAATATTCTGTGGTCAAATCTTCATTTGCCTCATATCTTTGTTGGAATTATCTATGTAGTCACAGATATTTTTAACATGATTCATTCATTCAAGGAAGACTTTCTAAAGGAGGTGAGATTTGGTCTAAGATTTGGTGGGATGGATAGAAGGGTATTATGGGCTGGGGAAAAGCATCAACAGAAGGCACAGAGGCCAGAAGCGCACAATGCATCTAGGGACCTGTGAGTGGTTTGTTACAGGTAAGTGGGTGTGACAGGTGGCAAGGCTGGAGAGATGTGCTGAGGCAGAACAGGGAAGGCCTTAAATGACATACCAAGGAGTCTGCATTTACCTTGCAAGCAATGGGGCACTGCAGAAGGATTCAAGGTAGAAGACAGGCATGATAGGGTGTGCATTTAAGAAAGATTACTCTGAGAATATTGTTTTGTATTTCAAGTTAAGACCAAAGATGTGAATACTTCTTCGGGAAAAGACTGACTAGCATAACCAAGATGGCACAGATCTAATGCAAATTTTGGGGAGTAAGGTTATGAGAATTTCTGCCAAGGAATGAGATGATGGCTTCAAATCACATTTAGGTTTGCATACTATGTATATTTTCAAATAAAATGAAATGCTTCTAAATCCCTATAAAATTAATAAATTTGTATGATGCAGGCACCATATATACACCTGAGAAAGATTTCTTTCTTCTTTCCAAATTTGCAAATACTGGAAGTTTATTTTGTGTTCCTGGGGATACTTCCTCCCCCTCCCCTGCCTCCACCAACCCACCAGCAAACTCTGTGATTTAAGTGGACAAAAACAAAACCTATCAACCAAAGAAAGAAAGAAACAAAAAAAAAAAACAAAAAAAAAAGTAAACCAAACAAAAACAAACCCTCGGCCTCAAAGAAAACCTAATTTAAAAAACTCAATTAGTTTTAACAGCCTTATAGGCTACGATCTCTAGAAAACAACCATAAAAGCAACCCATTATTCGTTCTTAACAAGATAACTCAGAAATTAAAAAAATAATCCCTGGATCTAAGATGAACTCAAAATTGAAATTATGAATTGTATAGAAAAGAAATGACCGAAAAAGGGAATGTTTCACATAAAATGCAAACTAGCACAGTGACTGGGACATGGTAGGTACCTGCTGTTGACTGATGAATGAGGATCTAAACAGACAAATAGGTAGCTTTGATGCATATGCTAACATTGTCACTGATTTTTGGGGTCCATTCTCAAAACTTTGGTAAAGTTAGCAAAAGTTTCGAGCATATACAGAAACGAACACTTCGTACATTTTAGGATTTAAAAATTTCATTTCTGATTATAAAAGTAGATAAGAAGCCAAAAGGAGGATGAGAGCAACCTACCTGGGAAGCATGACATTCAGTGTTCCGACAGGCAAGATTTCCATTGACTTCCCCCAGAACTTGTTTTTCCATCTGATATCTAAACAACATAGGCAGAGGACAAGAAACATATACTCCATGTCTAATCACTTGTTCCAAAAATCCAACCTTTGTATTACACTTTACCTTTTACAAAGCACTTTTGTAATCAGAATTGATTCTATATTGTTTTAATTAATATAAGATCCTGAAGACACCCCAAGATGAAAAGATTAACTGTGAACTATGTTTCTCTATAATGCATGCTCCGTATTTGCTGTCAACTAATAAAATTGAGAAAAGCCTGGAATAATGTGTGTGTGTGTTATGTGTATTCACATACACATATATACATAGACTGTACTATGCTTTGGAGCCCTGGTGGCACAGTGGTTAAGAGCTCTGAATGCTAACCAAATGGTCGGCAGTTCGAAGCCACCAGCTGCTCCATGGAAACCCTATAGGGCAGTTCTACGATGTCCTATAGGGTCACTATGAGTTGGAATCAACAGCAACGGGTTTGGTTTGATTTGGTTGTACAGTGCTTTAATGTCCAGGTAGCAATATATGTTCTTATAAATTTTCACTAAAAAACAGAAATAGTTAACATACGTATCACATATCAGGTGTATAGCAATTGCAGTATGGCAGTACCATTGATTTATATACTTATTTTTCCCCATATGGAAGAGTTATATGATTTGGGAGAAGAGTAAAAAAAAATCTCTAAATACAGATACAAAAGATTTATGAGAAAGTGGGATTAACTTAATGCACATGTTCCTACACTAGTTGTTAAGATACAGCCCCAGGGCCCAGCACTTTATCTCACATGATGATTTTATGTTTTCTTCTTAAAACTCAGATTTACCTGTGTATTTATAACTGCTCAGTCCCATTTTCATGAACTATGGGAGCTTAATGCTGTCTTCACAAAATTTCTGAATCTTTGTCATAACCAGGAAATGATTTACTTTCTTATTTTGCAGTAAGGTATAGTTATGGTGCTCTATCATTTTGTGTGTTTTGAGGAAATTCCCATGAGAAGAGTCACTCTGTGAGCAATGGAGCACCCTTCAAACTGTGAAGCAACTATTTATACCTAATGGTCAAATTTACCTATTTTTTCTTTCCTTTCCAAAAGGGTTTTGTAACTTTTCATTTTAGGGAAGTTTTTTAATATTTGACTGAACACAGGGTATTAAGTAGAGGCTTCAATCCAAACCTCTGAGCCTCAATGAGTAAAATACCAGAAACTACTGCAATGTTTATAAATCCAAATAAACTGTGACAACTGGTGATCTGCTCCAAAGCCTTCCTTCATGATGAAGATCTCTCTGTACACCCCAAGAAGCAAGCAGGCAACCTGTATAACCTCCATGGTACAGATGCAGACACTGAGGCACAATGAGATAAAGTGATAGCCTGGAGCTGGCAAGGTCAGCATGGACCTCTGCTGTCCCATAAGGCTGTGCCTGCTAGATGAACAATCTCATCTCTTAAATGACATACTTTCGTATTTAAACCAAGAAATGTAATTTCTCAAACTGAACTCAGTACCAACTGCCAATATTCACTAAGTTCAACAAGAAAAAAATCTAAACACAGTATAATGTACCTTTAGAAACGAGAAACTTTTTCACAGGCGTGTAAAGTTGATTTTCAAATTATAACTGAAATACAAACCTTGCCAAAACACAAAATTCTTCGATTCACAGTGACAGGCAGAAATGGGTGGATGATGGCTAACCTGGTAATTAAAAACAAAAAAAGAAGGCAACAGACATCAGTGTCAAAACTTCTGCATATGATAATTTTTTATACCATATATTGGCCACCCTGATACTCGATTCATCCATATACATTAGTGAACTATTCTCAAAATATATAAGTAAATTACTAAACCTTTAACTTTTAAGATGTCATGTTTAAACACAAACAATTTACCAACATTTAGGCAGATTAACTAAGTGATTTTTCTGTTAAATGGTATCATAAACCACCCAAAGCAGGTGGTTCCTTCCTACTATACAGAGACTTCACTGAGTCTAATGGGACTTACCTGTTCTGAGAAAAATCGGAACCCCTTGTCTTCTCTAATGCATTCATAAGTCTCCCCAAGGACAGGGTTGAATGGCTTACTTCCTGCTCTGAAATAGGTGGAGCAATATCCTGAAACTGCAAATGCAGCAATAAGAACCTGTTAAAACATTTAAGAAAGGAAAATAATATAGGAGAGACTATTTCCAGGTCTGTTTGTCCCTTATTACTCTAGATTTCACATGCTCCATGTCAATGGGCACCGATTTGATGGCCTTTGCTATTATTTTCACAGAATCTTCTGGAACTTAAGGGGGGGAAAATAAGTTAAAATGAGGTTCCCATTAGGGAACCAGCAAGCAATTGGGGTCGAGTGTTCTTTATTCATATATCACCCAAACTTCATGATCCTGAGTGTTGTGGGTTGAATCATGTCCCCCCAAAAGATATGTTCAAGTCCAAACCCCCAATACCTGTGAATGTGATCCTATTTGGAAATAGGGTCTTTGTGGATGTACTCAAGATAAGGTCACACTGGATTAGGGTGGGCCCTAATCAATGACTGGTGTCCTTATAAGAGGGAGATTTGGACACAGAGACACAGACACACAGAGGTTAGAAGGTGATGTGAAGATGGAGGCAGAGATGGGAGTGTTAATGTCTACAAACCAAGGAATGCCAAGGATTGCCGGAAACCACTCTCGGCTAGGCGAGAGGCATGGGATAGTTTCTACTTCAGAATCTCCAAGGAAATCAACCCTAATAACACCTTGATTTTGGGCTTCCGGTATCCTGAACATTGAGAGAATCAATTTCTGTTGTTTTAAGCCACCCAGTTTGTGGTCATTTGTTACGGTAATCCTAGCAAACTAATACAATGAGCATCACAGAGTTCAAATAACAGAAACTCCGGTGTGTGGGTTATGCCATTTGCACCATCACAGCACTACATATGCAAGAGGGCTGTGGTGCTGGTGATTTTCAGAGGGCAAATAAAGGTTCCCACAGTCATACTAGAATAAAGCCCAGGCCAAAGTACAAACAGGAAATTTTCTCAAACCAGAGTTCCTAAACAAATGGGCTATCTTGACATTCAGGAAAAGCTGATAATGCGGGGCTAACCAGTTTCCGGCAAGTCGATTCTGACTCATGGCGACCCCATGCATGTCAGAGCAGAATTGCACTCCATAGAGCTTTCAATGGATGATTTTTCAGAAGTAGATTGCCAGGCCTTTCTTTTGAGGTGCCACTGAGTGGGTTCGAACCACCAACTTTTCAGTTAGCAACTGAGTGCATTAACTGTTTGTACCACCCAGGAACCCTGAAGCGAGGCTAGGCATACATGCCTTAAACCTGTAAGGAATATGATCCCTTTACATCCTAAATTTAGAAACTCTCTAAACCAGAGATAAGTCACAAAGTATACTTGCAACTTTTTGGCCCTGTATGACTTAGACGGAAATGAACTCTCTTACCTATGCAGCAGGAATGTTATGCAAAAATCATGTCTCCAAATATATCATCCTAATGAATTCTGGCTTAGCCCTGGTGTAGGGTTGGCACTGTTTTGTGGCACCAAACTTATTACCATGCGCTCATAGGGATCGTCGGTTTCCGAGGCCTTGTCCAGGAGCTCACTGTACTCCATTTCTTCACAGAGATGTTGCAGAGTGTTGAGGGGCTCATTTAGCTCCACAGGCATAGAGACTTTAGAAAGGTCTTTACCAATGTTGTTCCTCAAGATATTCCACAGGTTGATGTTACTGGTGTCAGGACAGGGAGCTGGGAGGCACGTTCGGCGTCCATTTCGGAAAGCCCCTCCTGTAAGCTCCCCATTCAGGACTAGAAGAGGGAGAAAGATGAGAACCACAGTGAAAGACACTTTGCTTTTCTTATTTCATAAAATCAGAGGGAATTAACCCTTCCAATGGAGTACATTTCTTAAGCCTTCATCATGCTCTTTCAAGAATAAACTGAATTATTTCAATACAAGGTTGCTAAAAAATGTACAAATATCAGTGTAAAGTTTTTAAAACAATATTTTAAATACTCTCCAATATTATTTAAGAAAAGATAAATTAAATTTATAATTTATTTAAGAAGGATGAAAACTTTTGGGATGTGCAAGACTTAAAACTTTTTGCTCTTAACCATCTACTTAATACATTTTCAATCGTCTACCTCCACAGAGTTTACAAATATATTGAACAATCAGCTCAAACAGAACAATTAGTGAGAGGAAGAAAATGACTTCGTTAAGTCACCAGAGTGGTAATTTTGTATGTAGACAGAACAATTTGGAAGCTCAAATGATGCATACTTTGCCGAGAAATGTTGTCTGCAACGCTGGTGTTGTCTTCAGATATATTATCACTCACATCACTGATGTAAGACTCATCATCTGAAGCCTAAGGAAGGGAAAACAACAGAATGGATCAGAATTCTCATTCAGTCTTGAAAGCTCAGATAATTAAACACTTAAAAACAAGAAATTATTGTCCAAATGAAAACCAGAGATCGTAGTGTGAAATGTATTTGGCATATGTGCAGTGAACACTTGAGGTTCTACCATGAGGCAGGAATTATCAATTGCTAGAAAGCAGCCTTTGTCTTTAAGTAGCTATCTCCTTGTCTGTTTGTGGAGGCCAGTACATAAACAGATACATTTAAATACAATACAGTAAGAATGTGCACAAAGGAAGGCCCTGTGACTCCACCAGGAGTCAAGCTAGACTGCCTAAAGAAATATTCACACTGGGTGTTGGAGAATGAAAGGTTTCCCAATTGTTAGAGATGGAGAAGCACAGGAAGAAGGGAGAGTGTGTGCAAAGGGCAAAGACCACAAGAGAAACCTTTATTCCAGGAATGGTAAGAAGTTTAGTGTGGCTGGGATGGAGGGAGGAGAACAGGAAGAGAGCCCGGCTGAGAAGGGCTTTTTAAGCCACCATAAAGGCTTCACAAATAATCCCTATAGGTCTTTAAAAACCAACAAAAATGCAAGGTAATGACAGAGTTCAATTAGTTTTCAGGAAAATACTTGGCAGCAGTGTGAAGAAAACGCTAGCAGGGAAAAAGTCTCCAGAGTTATCTGGAAGGCAGAAAATAGGATACTGCATAGATCACGTTAAGAAATACTGACAGCTTAGAAAAGTCAGTGCCAAGATGGCAGAGTAGTTAGACACTTCCGGTAGACTCTCTTACAATAAAGCCCCGAAAAAACAAGTGATTTGATTATATACGGCAGACTGGGAGCCCTGAACATCAAAGGCTGAGTTGAGGAACCCAACTGAGTAGCGGGGAAGGGAGAGATGGTTTGGAAGCAGAGAGGAGTTGCCAGACCGGACCCAGGGAGAGCCTGAACCCTTCAGGCCTGATCAGCTCGGGGGTTAGCGGTGAGGCACGCAAACAGCCGAGCTCGGGAGGCGTGTTTTCCACACCAGAAGAGACCCAGCACCAGAGACTCTACACGGCCACCCAGAACCAGTGAGAAGCAGCCCTTCACGAAAGACAAGTACTTGCATACGGCTTAACGTGGGGAACAAAAACATCCCCCTTAGGGAAAACCTCTCTCCCATTTACCTCCCCACTCCCTGCTCTGCACTAGGTCCCCGATTAGCTTCAGCAATTGCTGAGTCCCCTGGGCTGGAAGTAGGATCCGTCACACGCCCAGAGCCATTCTCCCTGCCTTGGAGAGTGAACAAATTAACAAACAGGAAAAAATAAACTGCCAGCTCCCCTAAGCCAGGAACCCAGGGTAGGCACAGCTCCTTTGCCTAGGCACAGGCATAAGGGATCCACGGACTTTGAGTGCCTTTC